AGGAGGTGTTTGGGAATTTGGATTGCTTATAACCCTTAAAGTCTTAAGCCCTTATCCCAATAACCCTTAAGACCTTAGCCCTTTAAGCCCTTAACCTCTTATGTGTTAATTCAACAGAAATAAAAATTAGAAACACTAACCCTACGTCCCTGCTTCAAGTTACGTCTTTCTGAATTTCTTCTCCATCACAAATTTACAGTTCACACTTTCAATTTCCAAAGATTCATTCGTTCCACGACAAACCCTCTGTCGGTCCGTCCCTTACGGCCTTAGCCAGTTAACCTGACCGTCAACCTTCCGTCCTTGACGTGCCGAGTCTGCCGATTTTTGGATGATTGTAATAACTAATGACTTTGTTGGGTATACTTTTAGTATTATTTGTCATATTTCATTTGCCAATTTTATGAGTTTTAGTAACCCGCCAACCCAACCCGCAACCCAACCCAACCCGCAAGGGTTGGGTTGGGTTATACTTTTGAATATGTTAGGTTGGGTTGAGATTTTCCAAACCGCCATAATTGGGTTGAGTTGTAAAAATGTCATAAACCGTCCACCCCAACCCGTGTTCACCCCTACACCCATTTACCGGGTAAGTGTTTAATAAACGGTCCCTAAATATTAACTATAACTATAACTATATGTTTGTATATTTATAAGGAAGTTTAAATTCGTACACATTTTTGTCTATAAATTCTAGCTATATTATTTTTTATTTTCATAAAGATAAAAACATTAAAAGCTTGTAATATAATGCTCATGCTCACGTGACTTATAAACAGGCCAAAAGACCTTTTTACCCTCCACATACGTGCAGTGCTTTTAATGTCAACTATACCCTTATTCCTTCATTTTTTTCACTTTCTTTACAAAAAAATAAAAGTGTGATATTAGATTTTATATGAAATATTTTCAAAAGTATCGTATAAAAAAATTAATAAGAAGAATTGTTTTTTATGGTTACGTTGCCAAAATCCTTGATAAATTAGTTCGTGAAACTTCGTCCCATCAACAAAGTAAAACCATTATATTTTACATATAGAAATTAGTCCTAAAACTTAAAAGAATCTATACTATATTATAAAACATTTGATAAAAAAATTTAAAAACCATTTTTTATGCATAAAATACTGTTTATTGATGCATATTATTTAAAATTCAAGATCACAAATAAACTGTACATAAATATAACTTATTAAAGTTTTATTTGTGAATTCGTATAACTAACTATGGTTAAACACAATCAAATATGGGATAAACATCTCATTTTTTAAATATAAAAAATCTAAAATATAATTAGGATAATCATTTAATTTTAACAAAATACTTAATTAGTATCTTTTAAAAAAAATTATATTATTAAACCAAAAATAAATTATTTTGTTATTAAATTATAAGTAAAATATTGACTTAAAAAAATACACAAAAAAGGAGAATTTTAAATAGTAAATTTGATACTAATCTCTATTCTATCGACATAGATAAATACTAAAACAAAACATTAAAATTGAGACATATTTCGTTGAATTACGCAAACACCCTTCTAGAATTTACAAATTACAGTTAATTACTAATTACAGCAGGGGTGGATGGCCATAGGGGCTTTTAGGGGCCTTGGCCCCTGAGCTTTTTTTTCTCGATAGAGTGAAAAATTTCCTGTCCATTAAGATTTTAAGTATAAATTTTTTTTTGTGCCCCTCCATTATTGTTGATCCAGTCTATTTGTGTTCCGTCTCTGATACAGTATCAATTACTAAAAAACAAAATCAAAATATATCAAAAAAATACAAGTATTGTTAAACAATTAAAGTTTGGATTGAGCATATCTAGTTTTGATGATTAAATCATAATTATCTACTGATTTAATAATAAGCATCAAGACAAGTGTAAAAGTTAAAGGTGGTGGTGGAGGAAAAGCAAAAGATATGTCTCCATGTTTAAACCTCTTTTTCTCTTTGTTTTTTTTTCTTTCTAAAACTCTCCAAACAATCTCTTTTCTGCTACAACAAAATTGAGTTTATAGAACACTCTTAATTTTTAAATGTTTTAATAGACCGTTTTGTAGAACTTAATTTATAGGACCAAAATATAAAATGTCTTATCTAAAGGTGTTGTAATAAGTTTATATAACGTTTTTTGGCGTTTTAACAAGTTTTTAGGACATTTTTAATACAAAGTGTCACATTAGCAACTTTATAGGATACTTTCTCAAATGTGTCCTATAGACTCAATTTTTTTATAGGACACTTGTTTTTATAAGATAATTTTTCAAATAATGTCCTATAAAGTTGCTAATGGGACGTTTTATATTAAAAGTGTCATAAAAAACTTATTACGACGTCGAAAAACGTCATATAAACTTACTACAACGTTTTTAGATATGACACTTTTTTTGGTCCTATAAATTAAGCCCTATAAAGAAGGACGCTTAGAAATTGAAAGTGTCTTATAAACTCAATTTTATTGTAGTGTCTCTAATTGTTTTTTATAAATTAAAAGTATAAATAATCTCTAATAAGACAATTTATAAAAACAACTTAATTTTATTATCGTTTTAAATAACTTCTTGTGGTCATAACCGCGATATGCATAGCCACGTTAGCTTTTGTGGCTCCACTCTAAGGGGTTGTTTGTTTACCTCTTAATAGTTCCATTAAGAGGCAATTTCTGAATCGTTAAGAGATGAATCTTGTTTGACAAAAAAAAGTCTGCCTCTAAATGATTCTAAAACACTCTGAATGATTTTGTATTATGAGTCTCCCTTAACCATTAAGAGCCCTAATTTCATTGTAAACAATTACCAAACAATTATATTGCATTTTGTACTATATCATGAGAGTCTCTTAATCATTTTGACCACTTAATGATTCTACACAAAACTATTCAGCAACTGCCAAACAACCCTTAACATTTTTGACTTCTATTGTAACACATATGGTGTGTTATTTCGTAAGACATGTTTTTTTATACATATTTTAACATATAACTTGGTGGGTAAATGATAATTTTATACAACACGGAGATTTAAATAAATATTAAAACAAAACAAAACCCTAAATGGGTAAATCATATACAGAGAGTTAAACATGAATTCTATGAAGATCGAAGAAAATGAGTAGAAACTTAAAAGAATTAATCCCCATTTTGCATTTTTAATATCATTTTCTTATAAGTTCAATATATTTGATATAAATTGTTATTCTTTCACTTTTAATTTTATTACTTTATATGAATTTTAATTGTTCTAAGAGATTATTTAAAAGGCTAATGCATACAAGCATATATATACTATATTATAAAACATTTGATAAAAAAAAATTAAAACCATTTTTTTTTGTATAAATTATTGTTTATTGTTGCATATTACTTACAATCAAAGTACAAATAGACTGTATGTAAGTACAACTTATTATAACTTCATGTTTGAATTCATATAACTGACTGCAAGTAAACATGATTAAATACATGATAAGAGCATATTTTTAAATATAAAAATCTAAAATGTAATTAGGATAATTATTGAGTTCTAACAGAATACTTAATTATTATCTTAATATAAACCCATATTATCAAACCAAAATAAACTATTTCATTATTAAACTTCAATTAAATTAAAATAAAAAATTGTATTAAAGAGATTTCACACAAAAAACAATAACTTTTAAATAGTTAACTTGACTATCGATATGTTTTTTCACAATTTTATAATATCTTTAAATTTACATTTTATTCAAAAATAAAGATTTTGTCGTTTTTTTCTAAAAAAACACATTTAATCGTATTATAACATCGATAGATACAAAAAAAATGAAACATTAAAATCAAGATATATCTAATTGTGTTACACGCGTATATCCTTCTAGTGTGTGTGTATATATATATATATACACACTATATTAATAAGCATTTAGACCAAAAGTCTTAAATGCAACCTATAAATCCCAAAGTACTACTATTTTATGCATAAGTTTCAAAAATCTCTTAATTACAATTTCACATGCATAAGGTACAATTGTTGATGCACACCACCACCAACATCCAAGTTGAAACTTACAACTTTGTTTTATTTCTTTCGAGCTTTTTTCCTTCCTTATTAAGAGCTTTATTTTTTTTCTTGGTATCTTCACACCATTATTTATTCATTCAAACTTTTATTTTGGCTGTCCTTTGCAAAAAAATGGATATTGGTTTCTATTTCGGTTTGTATAAAATAATTTTTTTTAAATGTATTCACTAGATATCTGTTTCTTCCTTCATTATAATTATTTGGACAACATAATTGATTTTCATGTCTATGTATAATAAAATTCACTTTGATTTTTTCATTTTTTGTTACATTGTACTTGATTACATCGTGCTGCATCGCCCGGGTACTCAACTATAAGGAATTGAGGTTTAAATATTTCTAAGGGTTCCTCTGTAAGATCGAGTGTCTAAATATAAATTTTGTACTTTTTAATGAATAGTTGCACTCATTTTTAGTTGTAGGTTTATTTAAAAATTTGGCATCCCGCCGTATTATACGGATACACAACTAATATATCTATATATATATATATGTGTGTATGTATACTCCCTTAAGTCATGGCTTAAACATATCACATACTCACCATAATTCGTAGGACGAGATACTTGAACTTACCGTCATATCATACCTCATGTTATTTAAAACTTGTATTATATTTCATTGTTTAATATTTACACCTTCAATTTTAATCAAACAAATTCTCTTACATATTTAACATAACTAATTGTTGATAAGAAAAACTAAAAGATAAAGAAATTTTAAATACAAAAGTAGAGATTTCCAAACTTCAACTCACCTTTAGCTTTTCTCGTCTTCTGCCCTCCTAAACAGGTAAATTACCAAAATACCCTTGTCACCCACCACCTTCATTTGTCTTCACTTCCATCTGGATATAAAACAATGCCACCATCAATCATCACCAGACAACACAAAGACAAAATCTCAAATCAAAATTCTCTCTGAAACTTGAGTTTTAATGGCGATCTTATCTCAACTGTGGTCCTTTTTGGGTCTTCTCACAGTCCTCCAAAACATCCTCCCCTCCCAGCTCCTCTCCCTCCTCCACTCCTGCTATGAATCCCTTCAGGATTCCTTCAGTCCATACTCTTATTTCGAAATCCCAGAATTCAATGGCTACTGTGGTGTTGATCTCAATGATCTATACCGCCATGTTAATTTGTACTTGAATTCCATCAACCCCTCCGCCACCGCCACCGGCTGCAGCCGCCTCACTCTCTCCCGATCCAAATCCTCCACCCGCATTTCTTTCACCGTCGCACCCAACCACACCGTCAATGATTCCTTCCTCCACCACCGCCTCTCGTGGACCCACCACGTCGACACCGTCCAGGACTCGCTTGACGAGAAACGCAGCTTTGTGCTCAAGTTGCCCAAACGACACCGTTTGACGCTCCTCAAACCATACCTAGATCATGTGACGTCACGTGCCGAGGAGTTCGAACGTGTTTCCCGTGAGCGGAGGTTGTTTACGAATAACGGCCATGGATCCTTCGAGTCCGGTTGGTCGTCGGTGCCGTTCCGGCATCCTTCCACGTTCGAGACTCTAGCTCTTGAGCCGGAACTGAAGAAACAACTCATCGATGATCTGAAAGCGTTTTCCGATGGGAAAGAGTTTTATCACAAAATTGGACGTGCTTGGAAACGTGGATATTTGTTGTACGGACCTCCGGGATCTGGAAAATCGAGCTTGATAGCTGCAATGTCGAATTTAGTCTGCTACGACGTCTACGATCTCGAATTAAGCAAAGTCTCAGATAATTCGGAGCTCAGAGCTTTGCTGATCCAAACCACAAACCGTTCCATAATTGTTATAGAAGATATTGATTGCTCCATCGATCTCACCGGCGATAGGTTGTCAAAGACGACCAGAAGACATTCTCCGAAAGGAAAACGCGTTGGTGGTGGTGGTGGTGGCGGCGGGGACGGTGGAGAAGATGACAGACGCGTGACTTTATCCGGTCTCTTAAACTTCACCGACGGTTTGTGGTCGTGTTGTGGAGAAGAGCGATTGATCGTGTTCACAACGAACCATAGGGACCATGTCGACCCGGCGCTTGTTAGATGCGGGCGTATGGACGTGCACGTTAGCCTAGGCATGTGCGGGATGCATGCGTTCAAAGCGCTGGTGAAGAATTACTTGGGTGTGAGTTCGCACGTGCTGTTTGACGTGGTGGGGAGCTGCATAAGATCCGGTGGGTCCCTCACGCCAGCTCAGATAGGGGAGATATTGCTGAGGAATAGGAAGGAAGCTGACGTGGCGATGAAGGCAGTGATATCGGCCATGCAGGCAAAGATTCTAGGTGCCGACGTGGAGGTGGAGGTGGTGGAGTCTGATGACACGGCAGCGGAGGTGGCAGAGTCGCCGGAGAATTGGGATATATCGTCGCCGTCGCCGATGGGGAGGTTGGGGGTGAAGAAGAGGAATGGGTGGGGGAAGAGTAAGGTGAAGTTTCTTGTGAGGTTAAAGTCCTTGACCAAATCTGAGTCAGGGAGTAGAGGTGCTTAATTGGTTTGTAAGATGTGCTTTGGACACTTGTACCTTTTCAGGCGCCATGAGCCATCCATGTACAATGAATTCTTTTAAGACTTCCTTCTTCTAATTTTTATGATTTATGCAAACAAGTTACACATAAATTTCAAAAGTTAATGATGATTTACTGGATATATTCTTAATTAATTAATGGTGTTTACCAATTTTGTTTAGTCCAATCCAATCCAATCCAATCCAATGCTAATGTATAGGGCCATACGTGACGAGATTTTTGGATCCGTTTCCGTAAGTGGATGTGCATTGATAGCCCTGTAGATTCGTTCCCAGATCCTCCCTTCTTTGGGGCCAATCATTCTCCTCGGGAGTTATCTCCTTTTCATCAGTTGCAGGGTTTAGTGGCTCGAAATTGGTTTAAGAAAAGGCCTCGTTCTCTTGGTTTCCCACACGTTTAGAGTCATCAATCCGAAATCGTTGGATGATGCGGGAAGGAGGATATGATGGTAGTCATCCGCCATGAGGGCCAAGGGAGGAGAGAATAGAGAAATGAATATAACGGGTCAACTTCGAATGGGAGCCTTTGACGTTTTATTTAATATAATTATACCATCGGATTACAATTATAACCTTTACAAAATATTTGGAATTAGAGTTGTTAATAAAATTGAAATATGAAGGAATTAAGATGGAATTCAATTGTGTCTTAGGGGCTGTTTATCTAAACACTTACCGGTTAAGTTTTTACCGGGTAAATTCAACATTATCGTTTACTTATCGGGCAATATTTAATTCACTAAAATGCATTGTATGCAATAATTTATCCCTATAAGTGTTAACCGTGGTAAGAGTCCTCGTCTTCACTTACAGTGTAAGACTCAAAGTTCTTGTCTTCGCTCTTATCGGGTAAGATTCTTAATTCCTGTCATATTCATCCAGTAAAGTAAAGTGACCTGGTAAGCGCTTACCCGAGTAAGTGTTTGTTAAACGCCACCTTAAACTTGATGAAGAAAACGGAAGATAGCGGATAATAGTTTTTTTTTATTAACCTGAATATCTAACGTCGACCACCTGCTTTGCAGATAACCCGGAGACACCATATTTGAATCTCCGTAGCCACAATAGAATTTTTATTCCTCCTTGTATTTGAACCTGAGACCTCCAGGTACTTTTAACATTTAGAGCGAAGCTCAAACCAATCAGACACCACCCTTGGTTTGTAGAATAATAGTCTCCACCAATAGTACTTCATAAAGTATATTTTCTTAAAAGAAAGAAAGAAAAGTTTAAAATAAACTAACAAATTTTTTCATCTTCAATGGTTTAGTATTTAAAAGAATAAAAAATTATTAAACTTACTTATTTTAAATGATAAAGTCTTTGAACTATTTTTTTAAATAAAAACTCATTAAACTTTCACATTTTGAATGATTAAGACCTTGAATTTAAAAAAACTATCAGACTTTTACTAATCGATTAATGTAACTTTTTTGGGTTAAAAGCATGTAGGTAACCAAATTCTAAAACTACGATAGTTTATTTATTTAAAAACTTGTTCAAGGACTTGAAAATCAAAATGAGAAAGTTTAATAATTTTTTTTACTTAAAAAGAAAAAATTTAATAGTTTTTTAGTTCATAAACTTAATCAGTCCGGTGGGGGTATAAGAGATGAACCCAAATTTTTTTTCAAAAGTAGTAACATTTGACTATAAAAAACCTTTTTTCATCTAATTTTTTCAAAAGCGTGTTGAATTCAAAGACTATTAAAAGGACCAAACCAATTAATGTAATTTAGTTTGATGTTTTTTATAAGAAAGTAATGCATGGTTGCTGAGATATCAGATTACACAAACCACATATGAAGCTTGACACACAAACCAGCCTACTTAGGCAACATTCAACATTAAAAACAATCTAAAATGTTGTCATGAACCACAATCTAATCGAATATCAAAACCATGCTAGAAACAACAAGTATAGTTGAAGAAGACAATTTCGTTTTTAGTTGATCGTAATGAAGTAGCAAAATTAATGGAATTTCATTGTAAGTTGAACTATAGAAAAAGTACAAGGTACAACTTCAAATGCGATCCTTCTTTAAGTATAATTCTATTTGAAAATTATTTCAAACTATTGAATCACCCTAGGTGTCGTTGACAAGCTTCATTTCTGCATATCTTCCCACTAACAGTCCAGGTCCCAAGCTGTGCAGTTATTACCAACGCAACAATAGGTATGGCTTTCTTCATCCTCTCTGATTCTGCAAATCCGTTTTGTTCTACATTTTTGTACAATATTATATACTTGATATGAAATCTTTGTATTCGTTGTTTTTTTGTGATTCTATGATTCTTCTTGATTAGTTGATTACACATAACCTTAATTTCTTGATTCCCGGTTATTTTTTTTATATCATAAATATTTGATATTTGAATGCATATATAATAAACTTATAAAACAATGCTATCAACACACTGAACCTGCTAAACAAAATATATATAAAAAAGGTAATTTAGTTGGATGTAATTAAATAACTTAGTTTGATATATTTAAAAAAATTAAGAATAGATGGTTGTTGCAGTATCCGGTTGCACAAGCCACATATGAAGCCTGAGACACAAACCAGATTACTCCAGTTCATATAGGCAACGTTCAGCACTAAAAACGCTATCGAAAGAGCGCATCAGCGACTCTAAAATGTTGCCATGAACCACAAGCTAATCGAATATCAAAATCATACTAGACAAACAAATATAGTTGAACAAGAAAATTTTAATTTAAGTTGATCGTAATGAAGTAACAAAATCAATGGAATTTCATTGAAGTTGAACTATAGAAACATCTGAATGCATATGTCTCATCGGAAAACAAACAAATGCCAGAATCTCAGTTGCATATCATTATCGGCAACGTACAGCACTGATTACACTACCAAAAAGCACATCAGAGACTCTAATTTGTTGCCTTGTATCGTATCAACCAAATCAAATCCAGTAAACATCAAAATGAATATTGAAATTCAAGCAAAATATTCGTATGCATCAATCAATTTAAAACGAGACTTGAAATCCAAATGATAGGCTCAGTGTATTGTTTGTTATGAAATCATCAAAGAAAAGCATCAAGCTTTCAGAGTTTGATGGTATATTTCATCATCATTGCCTTAATCAGATAGGAGAAGAATCATGCTCAAATATTCAAATTGTATACCAATAAAGGCTTAAAATGAAGAGAAAACTGAAAATCAAATCAACAGATTTACGACCGTGAACAAACCTAGATGAATGTATCCTCGTGATCCAGATGCTCAAAATCAGATCACATACGGACCAATCCTAAAAGGCTGATTCGGAAGAGGCCTTGAATGTACATCACTGAAAAGGAATAAGGGGGAATGTTGATGAAGATAGGTTGAAGACCGCCATTATATAGGAACGAGAACGACCAAACCCTAATTCCCAAAGAACAGAAGCCCACTACACGATATTGTTGGGCCGCCCCACAATTCTTTACAAACCTATCGAATAGGTTATTTATTTATTAAATTTGATTATTAAAATTTTAAATATAGTTACTAAAATAATATAACTTTTTAGGGGTATTTGGGATTACTTATTTGAAACAACTTGTAATTTTTCACAAAAGTGTTCATCAACTTATTATAAGTTAGTAAGATTTAACTTCTTTAAAAAAATTATTACCGGTTTGGCACTGGTATAAGTTGTTTATCCAAACACTCAAAAGTACTTATTAGCGGTGTCACACCGAAATAAGTTAATAAATTGTGTCTATAAGCAAAACATTTTTATTTGGAATATGGATCATTTTGATCACTTTACTTGTTTGATTGCTTCATTTGTGAAACATTTTACTATAGACTCAATAACTAGAGCACTGGTATTGAGATGTTTCCATGGTGACTAAAATGATCATGGCGTTCTTATTTTTATAGTCTTTAAAAGTGGACTTGATTATGTACCGGTCGAATAGAGGGCGTATGGATCGATCATAGGAACCGTTATTGGATATTGAATTATGGTTGTGGTTAAATCCACAAAGAGGATTGATGTGTTGTGCTCACACCCCTTTCCTCACTTGTGCCTGAATGGACTGATCATCCTTTGGGAACAGTGCGTCTTCGTGATGCGATTTGGTCTTCGGACCCTTGACATGCTTTTGGGCATTTTGACTTTCTTTTGAATTATCACTTGCTTTTATAAATTGCTTTTGAACTTGTTATCTCATATTCATTGTTTAATCATTATTATCAGTTCACTGAGCATTAAGCTCAGCCGAGATTTTCTTATCCTCGGCAGGTACATGACTTAGCAGAGATTTTGGGATGAGAGCTACGGATATGATAATATTGAAGATAACTCATTAAGTCATATTTTTCTTAAACTTTTGATGACTATTGTAGATATACTGATATTTTGGGACCGTATTTTGAGACACGTTATCTCCGTCTATGGTTATGTAATTGTCTTTTGGTAAATTTTATTAGTCGCTCTGTTTTATATAGCGCGTTGTTTGTTTTATTTCAATTGTGGCATCTCCCGTCCTTGACCACGCGGGACGGGGGTGTTACAAGTTGTGGTATCAAAGTCCCAAACACCCCCTTAATAACCGACCCGCTTTCAAAAAATTGTTATAATTTTATAATACGAGTTATCAATCATTGAATATTTTATATACATACAAACAAAAAAATAAAATGTATCATTGTTGTGTCACAAATACGTATTGGTTGCTTTGGTACAGATATACTTAATGACAACTAAAACCTCTACAACAAAATATACTCAATCAAAAATCCAAAATCATAAGTCAAATTGATAACAAGACTGTAACCTTTAAAAATAAAATCATAACAATTTAAGCTCAAAAGTATTATGTACCAAAACACTTGATGTTATTTTGGTAATTCCCAAAGAAGTAGCCTCGCTCGATCATTTTTATATTAAAAATAATAGTAAAAAAGTTATAAATAGTGTACATCAAAAGATTTATGATTTATGTGGGGTCAAAAATTCTACTCATAATTGTTTGAAAACATGTGTGCTGTTTGCTTAAATTATCGACATCCTACTGAATTCGACACAAAAACCAAAGTGGGCATAGGCATGAATCACTGTCTCTAGGAGATACACATTCATGAGTTCGACGCATTACAACTTAGAGGTTACCGCTCTAGCTTTTAGCACCGATAAATCGTCTTAATAGGTTATGATTGGATAGTAATGATCAAGAATTAGTCGTATTGGGTTGTAATGGGTGTTAACATGTATACATATGTATGAATGTGTATATGGTACATGTATATTTACTAGTTGTGTACCCGTGCAATGCGGGGGGAGCCATGAATTTTAACGATTTTGAAGTTCCACTGGTTTTATAAGATAAAATTTAACGATGATATAGGTTACACTTGATCTTTACATATTAATACAATTT